GAACTATTTTTTAAAATATTGTATGTTAAATAATGAAACTTTTAATTCCCCCTCCCAAATAATGAAAACTTATTGTACTAAGCTACACACCCCAGTAAAACCAAATGTATTTTGTACATTCCCATTCACCTGTTTGCACTTCTCAAAATTTGGTTTTGATCGATAAATGTATAGCAATTTTAGAGGTCGTGACGGGCGAACGGAAGTCACAGAATTTTGTATATAGATAGATTGATGAGATTACCGGAATCTCTAATGTGTACTGAGCTGATAATTCCGAAGAAGGGAAGAAAATAATATTATCACCGAGACATAAAATTTCAATAAATTCACGGGAAAGTTAGTTACTGACAAAGAGAAATCAAGAGTGATACTGAAAGAATTACCACCCAGCCATATTCAAACGTTACGGCTTACCTCGAGACACACAAACAAGACACTCCAATGCGCCTCGCAGAATTCGGGATTAACAGCGCACATCACAAATTAGCAAAAGCCAGAGCAAAGTTAGAGAAATATATAACCAGCTGAATCGTCTTTTTTACGCTCATTATTTTGTTGCTATATTCACCAGGCACAGCCATCGCCATTATAATCTCAATGCCATGGAAGTGATAATCATAATTAATTGTCATCAATGCGAGAAACAGCAGCTGTATTAAAACCAGCCAAGATATTAACACATCCATTACAGACATATTAAGTCAGCCGTAGATTGAAACTATTATTCAGATAACAAAAACTGTGTTACGGAAAATGAGACTTATAAGACTGATTGTCACTGCCATTATAATAATAATTATATAATTAATAATAATAATAATTATATAATTAATAATAATAATAATTATAATAATGATGAAATAAAAGACGTGTCAGTAACAACAAAGGGTTTAATGATAGCTAGTACGATAAAATGGTAACAACAACAATAATGATGATGATGATGATGATAAATCCCCAAACGCTATCCCAAGTATGGCTCCGATGGCTTTTTCTATGTACCGTATCCCTTCTGGGTGTGGACGATCATGTCTCTCCACAACTTCCTGTTCGTTGTAGCTCTTTGTCATTTTTCCTATTTCTCTGATATGAAAAACATAAATAACAAATCGATCTTAAAAGTGACGTTGTAAGCTATACTTAGTTAAAAATGTTCACTACTCTTTCTCTAGTAGTTTCGTCTTCAAGGTTAGAATTTGTGTTACATATCATGGCGCCCACGTCGCAACCGGACGTGACACAAGGTCGAAATATAAAGTGTGTTTAACGGCCATACCGCGAAAAAAATTCCAACCCCACTCGGTATTTCTCCCTTTTGGGGCGCCTCAGTCACTGAGCAATAAATCCCAGCCTCCTTCCAAGGGAGAGGTACTGCCTTGGAGGAAAGGCGGAGTAATATTCAGAGAATATAAATCCTAGCCAAAAGGTGAAGATTTGTTTAGCTTCCAACAGTATCAACTGCTATTTATAAGGTGGAGATTTGTATATGAATACAAGGGAGTTATTAACAAAAAACTTCCAACTTTGTAGCCGGGATCGAAAGCGTAAACAATATTATACACTGATCTGTCTGGACAACTGTCCCCATTTTGGCCGTTATAATTACAACGTTTCGACCTTAATATTTTCCTATCTTCTTCAGGTGTTTGCCGTATTCAGCAAACTAATGGACATTTCAAACTAGACCCTTTATTCACTCCACATTAAATACATTTTCCTGGGCACCTCGAGGTGGTGTAATGGTTAGCAAGCTTGTCTCGCTAGAACGATTACGAGTGAGTTCGTTCCTCACTGGGTGCCCCTACTTTCGGCCTTGTGCCACATCTATGCTACGCTTGGAAAATCAACATTAAATACATTTTTCTTATTTCATTTTCTATGCAACGTAATATTTTTGATCGGTTATGATACAGCTCAAGCTTTTGCCACTCAGCCATGATGACTTTCATTTCATATCTCAGGGGTGAAACTCAGAATCACTATGTAACTCTCTTCTTCTTCTATGTACCTTGTACGTTCGGGGTAATCATGGCTCTCCACAACTTCTTTTCCATTGTAGCTCTTAGTCAGATTTATCTTATCGTTATCCCTCCCAATTCCTGTTTTGTCAACTATTTACACAATCACGTGATGTAGACTCTTCACTGCTCTCCTCTGTTTTTCTGGCCTTCAGTATATCCTGTGAATGTCAAATTCTCCAAGCCCTCTTTCCTCATTATGTGCCCTAGAAATTTCAACTATTTCTGATGTTTATAAGTTTCACCTTTGTTTCCATATTCCCTAAAATCTTGTCGTTACTCACATGTTCAGTCCATGATATTCTCATCATCCTTCTGTAGAACCACATTTCTATTACCTCATGTTTCTTCTTCATCTGTAGTCCTGGGTATGACGATAAGCTGCATCTGGCAGCAAGGGCTCTAATCGGGAGATTGGAGGTTTTGAGCAGTGTGGAACCCTCTCTTAATTACTGTTATTCCCAGGTTTACTCTGACCCTGGGAGGTAACACCTGTTATGGGCAAATAGTGGCCCCGAAACAAAACAAAACATTATGAAAGTATAAAAATACATTGTTATAGTAAAAACATGAGCAACTCATTTTTATATAAAAACAGGCAGCAATACATTTTATTTGTATTAAATGGTATGTAATTGCGTTCAAATTACTTTGATTTCGGCATTAAATAACCCATAGAGGTTGATAAATCAATTAACCAACGAACTTCATCTTTTAGGAGATTGTCCAGTATTCGACGCCATATAGGTGGACCGTTATTTTGGGGAAGGAAGATGAACTAAAGTAAATATCCTGTTCAGTAATACAGATTTGCTTGTCAATTCCCTAGCTATAATCACCTGACGATGTTCCCTGGGGGTTATCTATGCTCATGTGCTTGAGTTGTAGTAGGAGAGCGCCATGATGGTTGATGTGCGTGTGTTTTCTTTAAGTTTGAAGGATGAGGTAGCCGAATGGTCATATCTAGAGGTTTAGAAGTAGCTTCAATCGGAGATCGGCTGAGCGGACTGCGTTATTAAACCTGAAGGTAGCTTTAACTGGGTCGACCCGCAAACTTATGCGTTGCTTTTATCGAAACTTCTCACCATATCACACACATTTCCCTGTGATGCATGTACCATCTTGACACCTATTAGAACCGGTGTCAAGAAGAGTTGATTGGTCTCCGTATATCTATATCCCAGCGTCACTGTTACTACTACTACTACTACTACTTTTATTAATATATATATATGCATGTCCTTGTGGATGATGGATTTTTCTGCCCCACCCCATAGTTCCATTGCCAACGCCGAAACGTTGCCAAGCCTCTTGCTAGTGTATCGGTACTTTTATGACAGATGTACTTTTATGACATTTTTTGTGTCCAGACTTTTAGAACTAGACGCCACCAGGCCACCTTCATTGGGTTGACTCATCCTCATTCTCTTCCAAATTCCATTGGTGAAGAGGAAGTTCCTCAGAACTTTTGAATTGTGGAACAGACTCTCGAGAGGGTTTTGACCGATTACGATAATCCTGACCTCTTCAAATCGAGGTTCAACCGTTATCAATCATATCTTTGTAATATGCACCACTTGTTCCCTCGCTGTATGTCCTTAAAATAACAGTATTTAGTAATACTCTGCCTTGAGTGGCTCTTGAAGCTTGTATTGAGTGAACAATAGCTAAAAATATTAAAGTCTGAAAATATTAAAGCGAAGAACTAGATAACTATCTTGACCCTGTCCGAGACTTAAAACAATTGTGGAACATGAAATTATTAGTAGTGCCAATGGTAGTCCAACCACTGGGAATATATATGTGCTAGTTGGTTTGTTCTATAACACGTGTTAAGCATTATTGCAGTGTTAGGAACACTGAAAAATAAACTAAAGGCAATGGTAAAGTTAGCAGAGTTGATCATAGAATATAAATGACCTGATAACAAAGAAGGCAAATTATTTCCTTCAACTTAATATATAACGAAGTGGACACAGCTGTATTTACTTTCACAAAAATCAATAATTCTGCATATATGATCAACATAATCCCTGGATTACAAGAAAATGAATGTTCTATTTCGGTAATATTTAATCCTGCCACTCTCTCTCTCTCTCTCTCTCTCTATATATATATATATATATATATATATATATATATATATATATATATATATTATTCGACTCTCCTGTCGTATTCGACGTATGAGGGTCAAGCAGGTCAGTTTCTAGGAAGCGACAGCCAGACGCCAGCATACTGGTGAAGGCTTTGTGCAGAAATATCCACACTTTTTGAAGGGCCGAATACAGGGACCTAGTGCACTACGTGCCATAAGGTCCGCAAACGATTTTCTGCAGGTTTAGAATTCAGAGTTGTCCTTCTTCTAGACCACTTGCCATCCAAGGCTATAGAACCCGGTCTGTCCTGCTATTTACGCATAGTTGGAGAGAGAAGAAGAGGATTCATAGCTTTCCCAAGAGTATTAGCACGTAAATGAATGTAATGGATTCGACCTCTCCGATTCCACAGTCCGAGCCGCTATCCATTGCTCCACCGTACCACACACACACACACACACACACACACACACACACACACACACATATATATATATATATATATATTTTGTTTATAGGTTATTTATATGATCTGTGTATAATTAATAGTATTAACAACATTTTTCGGCATGAATATCCGAGAAATTTCATAGAAAATATGTGTCATCCGACAGGAATCAAACCTGTATCCTATACGTAACCGTCAAATATGTCTGACGTGCTATGCTATTTAGCCACAGAGGAAGCGTTTGCTCAAATTACTGTTTTTAAACAACAAATTCCTCATAGTTTTTCACGGACAATCATATCCGCTCGAAGCGTATCTTAATGTAAACAAATGAAATCATATATTATGAAATGGATTAAATTCGACCATTTATATATAAAAGCAAATATCAAAATCATTTTTTTTCCAAATTGTCTTAATCTGCAAAACAGGCATATCACGTTGAAACACTGGTTTCCGTACGATCAATGAAGTTAAGCAGCGTCGAGTATTGTCAGTACTTAGATGGGTAACAGCTTGGGAACAGCAAATGCTGTAAGCTTAAATGTGCGCATGGTGTAATGGATAATGGCTCGGAATTGTTAATCGGAGTGCCGAGTTCCAATTCCTGTTGATTTCGCTATATTCGCTTAGGTATTAATCCACCGCTTCTCCCCCAGTCATGGGTTAATTAGTTAGACTTGTATCATTACGCCATTATTTTCTCAAAAAACAAAAATTCTTATAATCTAAAGATATTTTTTGGCTTTAAATAATCTGAAAAGGGTTGATAAACGGTCAAAAACGAACGGATGAATCAATCAGGAGCAGAATTTGGAAAAAGTTGCCAACGTTGAATTTTATGGTAAAGTAATTTCATCCAACATGAAAATTGTTGCCACAAGATAAACAAAAGAAAGAAAAACACACACACACACACACACACACACAAAAAAAAAACGAGCAAAAAAGAAATTGCACGTTACTGACTTGAATAGGATGTAAAAATGCTAACAGCAATGGCGATCGCCATATTTAGACCGCATAATAAGTGTACTCATGTAAAAGAAATAATCAATGTAATTTTGATCGGCATAAATAAACACGGACGTCATTGTGTCAAATAATTACTCATCTATATTATTATTATTATTATTTTACTCTCCTTTATATCTGCTGCAGCAGCTGATTGTCCTGATGCCACCATCTGTGCTCAGTATTTAAACAACGTGTCTGTATTAAAAAAAAACAAACTTTAGTTTAGCCTGAACTAGTGCGTTTAAAATCACCTTTCCATTAAAAAAAAAAAATCAACAATTTGCAAGTTTAATTCTACTGATTTACCGACATGCATGGCTGCAAAATCATTTATATTTATCAGCAGTAGCACTAGTACTATACCTCTCGACTATAACTGATAAGACATTTGGATTCATAGAGGTTAAATTCTCCTTTATACAGGGTGCGATGGAAAAACTGTCGACGAAGCTACGCAAAAAATGAAAATAACACTGACATCTCATTTTAACAGATATATTTACCAGAATTACACAAAAAATATCTTGAAATATTACAGAATAAATTTATTCAATAACACTGCCATTGGCGACATCCACGGCCTCCAGATGACTTCGGAAACTCCTGTATCTCTTCTGGACGGTCTCCTTGTTTAAGTTGGTGAATACTGCCATAACCCTTGCGTTCATTTCATCTTTGGTGTTACACGGAGTTTTGTTGGTCTCTACCTAATTGCGACCCACACAATAATCAAGTGGGTTGCAGTCTGGGGAGTTAGGTGCTTAAATGTAAGGGCTGATGTGGTCGCAGACATCGACTGACAATCATTACTGCGTTCTCCTGCTTGTGTGGTATGGTGCACATAGAGACTTCTAACAACCATCCTCTTGATCCAGGGCCGCCATACCTCCTCAAGGTACTTGATGTAGGCCTTCGTACTCTCACCAACAAATTCGGGAGTTCAGAGTGAGTTTTCTGAGCTGCCGTATCTTCTTAATCACCATTAGACTCATTCAACTCTTTCCGAATCCTCTGCACTGTGCACAGATTGACACCCAAACATTCTGAAATGTTCGTATTGAAGCTTACGGCGCGAACGACAAGGAATAGAGCATTATTTTCCCTTCAAGTTGCATGTGTTAACCATTTTAGCTATTGTTGCTGTTGGATGTAATTATGGGATAGGGTTTTTGTTATTTGGTAGAGTTAATTGTTCTTTTTAACACCAGTCCATGGCTTCTGATGAACTATTCTCTTTTTTAAGAACTAAAGAATTCAGAATTCGCTTGATGCCATTTTTAGTCATTGATCTTGGAAAACGGTTGTATACAGAGGATTTTTGAGGATTTCTTAGGATTTTTAAGTTGTGACTGTATTAGTCACTTTAATTATTTCTTATCGGATATTTCGCAGCAACAGAAAAGATTTTCAAAACACATCAACACAAAAAAGCCTTCATATATATATATATATAATTAAACCTAAAGAGACAGACAAACCTTCCAAAGTTTCACCTACGCGGATCGTCAGGGAATACTGGCTAAAGAGGTAAAGTAAGAAAAATTAGTTATTCTACTTTCTCGTATCGGGAATTTTTCTTTGGACTCTGAACTTGGATGTTAGACGATTGTTTTCGGCTGACGTACATGTTCTCTGTTCTTTCTTTTTTTTATACCCTTTTTTCCCCTTGGGTATTGGTTTGATTATTTGCAAATGAAGGTACCTAAGGTTTTCCGGACGAGTATAATTTCTTTTATTTATAAGATTATTACTATATATATATATATATATATATATATATATAGTAATAATCTTATAAATAAGAGAAATTATATATATATATATACATATATATATATATATTCGTAACCGGTAGCACGACACGGAGTTTCATGCACAACTCAATCTTCAGTTGCTGAGTGGAGACTGACCGTTATATAATTTAAATTTTAATAAAAATATCTTTTTAACGCAATGCTGACGGGGATTACGGTTTTTGTTTAAAATACATACATATATATATATATATATATATAAAAAAAAAATAGACGGGATTCATATTTTATTCTTAAAATAAACCGGCATTAATGTTTTCATTTTCTATATTATAAGAAGCGGCGAGTAATGATATATATATATATATATATATATATATATATATATATATATATATATATATATACAGTAGCGTCCAAAACTAAGGGACAAAATTTTAAAACCTAATATTTGTTAGAAATAACAACTGTGAAAAGCTGAAATTTTGACAACTGGTAGTCGTTAACATCCATAAAAACATACTAAAATTTGAATCATTTGCAAAGGATAGAAAAAGAATTATAACAATTATTTATTTATTTTCAAAATAGGATAGTCCAAAAGTAAGGGACAAAATTGAGAAAAACAACGTAAACAGTATGCTATATTCAAGTTTTTGATGTCCTCTAAAGAATAAGTCTTACTTAGTCATTTGTAAACGTTGCATCAGCCGGCACCATGGCGAAACGCCAAAAACTTGATTACTCTGTGAGACAAGCTATTGTGAAGCTACACAAGGAAAAGCACACCATTAGAGAGATTTCAGAGAAAGTGAAACGTTCCAAGAGTGTTGTAGGCAGGGTTGTTAAATCCTACAATGATACTGGAAAAATAGTTAGTGCTTTTAAAACCGGCTGACCCCGCAAAACTTCGGCAAGAGAAGATCGAATAATGCAGCGTATATCATTAAAGGACCGTTTTAAGTCTTGCACAGAAATTAAAAGGGTTATGAATAGTACCTCATGTGTTAATGTGTCAAGACAGACTGTTTGTAGACGACTGCAAGAAATAGGGCTGTTTAATCGAACCCCAGGGAAGAAACCACTTGTTAGTTCGAAGAATAAAAAGAAGAGATTAGAGTTTGCAAACAGGTATGTAATTTGGACATATAAAAATTGGGCAAAAGTATTTTTCAGTGATGAAAGCAAGTTTAATTTATATGGAAATGATGGAAAAAACAATGTAAAGAGACGTATTGGTGAAAGATTAAGTGCAAAATGTACAAAGAAAACTGTCAAGTTTGGGGGCGGAAGCGTCATGGTATTTGGAATGTTTTCTAGCCAAGGTACAACGCCTCTTGTCCGGTTACAAACTCGTGTAAACGCGCAGATCTATAAAAACATTGTTCAAGATCATGTTGTGCCAATCATACAGAATTCAGGTTTCGATAGGGCTACCTTTATGCAAGATAATGCCCCATGTCACAAGGCAAAGGTGGTAATGAGTTACCTTAGCGAGCAAGATTTGGAAATTATGGATTGGCCACCGCAAAGTCTTGACTTAAATCCAATAGAAAATCTTTGGAAGACCTTAGGAGTGAAAGTTATGGAAAGAAATCCCACTAACACGGAGGATTTGTGGGTGAAGCTTCAAGAAGAATGGTCTAAAATTAGTATCGAGGATTGTCAAGAACTGATTCGTTCTTGTAGTCGAAGATGTGCAGCTGTCATTGAGAGCAAGGGCTCATTTACTAAATATTGATTGTACATGTATTTTTATTGTTTTTTTTGCCGTTTACATTGTTTTTCTCAATTTTGTCCCTTACTTTTGGACGTTCCAAATTTGAAAATAAATAAATAATTGTTATAATTCTTTTTCTATCCTTTGCAAATGATTCAAATTTTAGTATGTTTTTATGGATGTTAACGACTACCAGTTGTCAAAATTTCAGCTTTTCACAGTTGTTATTTCTAACAAATATTAGGTTTTAAAATTTTGTCCCTCAGTTTTGGACTCTACTTTATATGTTTGAATAGACGGATCTAAAACTATAACAAATGTGTGATATCTTACCAGATCAAATGGTAATGATAATGGTGATATTAGCCTTTTCCTTATAAGGAAACATTCGGCATTCATTGACCGAGCTATCAGTTGAAATTTATAAAATCTTTATCTTAAAACATTTTTTTGGAAAAATAGATTTCTCAAGTCCAAATAATCACCCATTCATAAAGAGCATGAAAAAACACATTGGAAATAACTACCTAAACACAATTTTTAATCATTTCACTCCAAGCAAGTCAATGATTCCACTAATTCGCCAGGAGTTACTGAATGCTAGAGAATATGCGAAAAAATGACTATTAAGGAGAGAGAACATTACAAGAACAACTAAGAGAACAGAAGATAACGATTGACATTGCATTTACATTTTTGAACATCAATGTTGACTGGGAAGCAAGAAGCTGGAAGAGAGTTCCACAATCTAGAAATGCGAGAGAAGGAACTGCTAACATAAAATTTAAGGTTACATCTAGCCATTTTAAACTGTAAAAAGATGAGACCTAATAGCCAATCGAGTATTGCGCTTAAATTCATAAAGTCTTGGTACCATAGAGGAAAGTTCATCTGAACAATTACCATGAAAATATTGATGGAAAAGACACAGGGAAGCTACATTATAGCGGTGGAAAAGCGACTGAAACCGAGATGCCAGGTCAGAATCAATAACATTGCATATTCTTCTTTAGATTCTATCAAGACTCTCTAAATAATCTTATCTTTA